AATCAAGGAGAGCGAAGAGCGAGCAAAGAGAAAAGAAGAAAGGAAGAAAGAGAAAGAAGCCAAGAAAGCCAAATCTTCCAAGAAAGACGACAAAGGCGATCATGTTTCTGGAGTAGCCATGTCCCAAGACTACGTTCGAAGGGGCAAAGTTTTTCAATATGGAAAAGGATCCTCTTCTCCCGTCGGGAGAGGGATTCCTGCCTCTGCTCCATGCAATTCTGATCTATCAGACACTGATGTACCTGATGATGATGACTTCTTGATGGATTGGGATGAATGGTCTGAGATCGAGAGTGGCAGGGGACCGAAGGCTACTTGGAACAACAACAAAGTGTATGACTTCAACCAGGGGAAAGTGGTGGCTGCTGCGACCTTGCACAACACCAACGATGTACCCCAAGACGCTCGTGGCCTCAGTGATGTTTTCCTTCCATTTCCATGCATGCCATGCATTAATCATTGTGATGATCATCGAGAAAAGATAAATTCAAATGGTGATGGAATAAATATCAACAAGATGTTCAACACTGCAGTTGCAAGACCTGTTGGTCGAAAGGAAATGATGGAAAACGATGATGCACGTAAGGCCATGAGGAAGGAATGGTTAGGCCAACACGCTGCTGGAGTCTACGATTTCAGTGTTATAAGAGAATACGATGACGTTGTTCGTGAAGCAAAAGCAAGCAAGACAGAGGTTCATATGGCCAGAGTACATGGAATCTGTGTTGAGAAAAACTACCAGTTGCCTGCAGGAAGCCCTAGTAGAAAATTCAAAGGCCGAGGTGTCTTGCTTGGTAATCAGGTGAAGAACCAATTCTGGGAGGCTGCTTTCTTCCAGGACTTGGGCAATTCTCCAGCTACTTTTGAGGCATCGAGATGGGCTGATTTCTATGGGTGTCTTCCAGGCCATAATGTAAAACTTGCCGACGCTATTCAAGCATAAATTCAAGCAAAACTAACCGGACCACCATGTTGAGTTGAGCTACCCGAAGATGCTTGGCCAGACGATGTCGATATTCGAAAATTCCGTAGGCCAGTTGTAAGATTGGTTAAAGCTTTGTACGGCCACCCCGATTCGGGAACAATGTGGGAACAACATTGTGATCGGAAAGTTCGAGAACTCAGTTTGTCAATGATTGGTCTAAAGCTTTCTACGGCCACCCCGCGGGCAGGAACAACATGATTTTCATGGAGAAGAATGGAAATCAAATGTTACTTCTTGTCATCTATGTAGACGACTTAAAGCTGGCAGGACCGGAAGAGAACCTGACTAAGGGTTGGGAGATGCTCAGATCAAAACTCAACATCGAGCCCGAGACTGACTTAGGACTCTACCTTGGTTGTGTTTTGAGAAAGGGATCTACCAAACTTCATGATGGTACCCCGGTGTCAACCATGACCTATGACATGGAAGGTTTGTTGAAACTGTCGGTTGAGAAGTACTTAGACATTGTTGGAAAAGATACGAAGCTGAAACACGTATCCACTCCAAGTCTACCGGAAGAAACAAAGAAACATAAGTCTAGAGCATCATGTCCCGGGAACCCCAAGAACAAGAAAGTATGTCCATGGTGCACTCACGAATTTGATCCGGACGCTCCATTGTTTTATGAACAAGTAACCCAAGGGGAAGACGTCTCGCCTGGGGAGTCTGAGAGAGGTGCATTAGCGCCACACGCTGCCAGCGTGTTGATGAAGCTGCTGTACGCGGCGAGGATTGCTCGTTTCGATCTGCTTCGTTCCATTAATTCCCTGGCCAGGAATGTAACAAAGTGGACCATTGATGACGATGCAAAGGAGTTGTATCACTTGATGTGCTACGTGAATTCCAGCCTATCTAAAAGAATGACCGGATGGGTTGGGGACAACTTCAATGAATTGACATTGTCTTTATTTGCTGATGCTGATTTTGCAGGGTGTGCCCAGTCTTTGAGATCTACTTCAGGGTCTCATATGCATATTCAGGGTAACCACACACGGTTTCCTTTGTCCGGGGGCAGCAAACGGAAAGGATGCGTAAGCCATTCAACGCCTGAGGCTGAAATCGTGGCAGCCGATGTCACCCTCCGTACTATGGGTTTGCCCGCTATGAGCATTTGGGAAACGCTGACGGGAAAGTCGCCCAAATTATTGTTCCATGATGACAATCAGGGCATGATAGGTGTAGTCAGGTCGGGTCGTAACCCCACTATGCGGCATCTTGAGAGGACTCATGGCATAGCCATTACTTCCCTCCATGAACATTTTACTCGGGAGAACTACGTACTCATGTATGAGGTGACCTCGAAAATGGCCGCCGACATTCACACCAAAGGTTTCAAGAATCCGTTGGCGTGGAAAAGGGCATGTATGCTCATCAACTTGTTGGACCCTGGTGACATCGGTACGAAAGATCAGCTCGATATGGTCTCACCCACCACGGATGTCGATACCACTGTCCGTCAAGTGTTTCAAACCAAAACTCAAGATGTTCCAAATTTTCCATATACCGAAATACCTATTCTACCACCTGAGGTGTATCAGAAGGGTCTTTCTGGTAAAGAACAAGTACAACAACTACCTGGCATGGATCCCATACTGGTTGTTAAGACGCCAACCTTCTTTAGAAAACGACCACCTGGTGTATCATTGCCCCATGATTGTTTGAGAAGTACCTGGATACTTTCTCATGGCAAATGGATCAAGGTTGAGGATCGAGTTCCACCCGTTCAGCAACAAGACCGTTTCGATCAATGGGTAGAACGAGCTTGTTTCCAATACCATCCGTGTCAATCTAGTATATCGCCGTCGGTGATTACTAGGCAATCAGCCGGCATTGTCTCACCGGGACACCCGGCGTCAACAGCACGACAAGGGCTCCATGCTGCCGCGGTGCCGACTCGTTAGACTCCAGTCCTGAAGTATCCTCAGTTAACTGTGGGGGTGGGTCAACTATTTTGTCATCAATCCCATGGAAATGACCCCACAACCATTCATGCAGCTCCTTGTGGTACCTTGAAGACGCGCCATTGCATCGACAGCCATAGAGTAGGCGAACCCGGAACCATTATTCCCGTCGGGTATGTGGGAAAGGGGGAGCCGAATGGCAGGTTTTATGTAAATAGGCGTAATTCGAGTAGCAGAAGCCCTTTAATTCAAAGTTCCCTCTCTCGTGCCCGTGGTCCGAAGGACACCACGGACATGGGGGGTGTCAAAGGGAACTCAGCAATACCACATGTATGACATGTGATGTGTAAACAACAATTGCATGGGACGCCATGATGGCTCAAGCGCCCATTGTGAGGAAAAGAGTTGCGCGCCGCTTGCCATGTCTTGAGGGGCTCGGCGACATCCAGCACAACAGGTACGATCAATTGAAACGATATCCAGGACAAGGATCTATTTGTTCACAATATATATATATATATGTAAATATATCACATATATATATATCTTATATATATATATCATATATCATATATACATATATTATATATATATATATTTGTCATATACATATCATATATATCAAATATATGTATATCATATTATTATTTATATTATATAATATAAATCATATATACATATATAATATCATATATATATCATATAACTCATATATATATATATCATATATATATATCATATATATATATCATAAATATCATAAATATCATAAATGTCATAAATATCATATATATATATCATATATATCATATATATCATATATATCATATATATCATATATATCATATATATATATATATCATATATATATCATATACATATCATATATATCATATATATATATATCATATATATCATATACATATCATATATATCATTTATATTGTATATATCATATATATCATATATATCATATATATCATATGTATCATATATATCATATATATCACATATATCATATATATATATATCATATATATCATATATATCATATATATCATATATATCATATATATCATATATATATATATATATATCATATATATATACATATATATCATATATATATATCATATATATCATATATATACATATATATCATATATATGTATATCATATATATCATATATATATATATATCATATATATCATATATATCATATATAGATATATATATATATATATATCACATATGCCCTATATATAATATATATCATATATATTATATATACCATATATATATATATCATATAATATACGATATATATATATATATATTGATATATATATATATGATATATATATGATATATATATATAGTATACACAAGATGAATCATGATATATGCAATTCTCATATTGAGGATATAGACAATTTTATGGGATGGGGTTGAATTGCAGTCAGTGACCTTGCCGATGCAGGTCATGAAGATCATCAGGCGCATTTTCCCATCTCTGGAGGGTTTTCAATCGCCGAAGACGGCCCCCAAAATTGGAGAAATGGTTTATCCACATGGAATGACGATCCCAGAAAGTAATTTACGGAATGGGTTGAAACATGTTGAAACATGTTGAAACATGTTGAAACATGTTGAAACATGTTGAAATCACATGAAACCAGCCATTTTTCATAGGTGAGCCAGGCGAGGGATGACATGCAGATATGTTTGTCGACTTTGAGGCCTTCAGAGACAGCAGGGCGTTATGTGACCTACAGGACGGGTGCATGTGATGCTAGAGTGAAACACTGACTGGTACTAGGCCGCCTTTTGCAGGAGTACTCAACTTTGACCCAGGTATCCAAGTTTGAGCCGATGTCAATACTTGTGCCTCCTGTGGTGGGACTTCTATCTTGAAGTGCAATGTGAGCAGGTTGGTTGTTTGAGCTGCTGTTCCTGAAACATGAGAGTCAGCTTTTAGCTAGTGTCCAGAACAGCCGATGCTTGCGCAGATCGAAAAAGAGAAACTCCCCATGAATTGCTGTGCTTTCAGACCTCACACAAAGGGGGCAGCAGGGCAGGTGCACTGAACGAGACAGTCACAGCTTGTACTGAGGTTCCCAGAGCGACGGTGTAGGACGTCAGATGTTGGAATCCGAGGCTGAGGCTCACTCTGAAGACATGCGAAGTTGTCGTGTGTCGAGAATTCATATGTTGGCTTACTGACACGTGCTTACGATGTCTACACGGGCTTTTATCTTCAGAATGTGTATCTTGAACGGATACACACACACAATTATATACACACAGACTCGTATGTGTGTACGTAATTATACGCAATCACATACACACATACATGTATTCGTATGTGTATGTGTATATATGTATATATATATATATATGTACTGGTATATGTATATGTATATGTATATGTATATGTATATGTATATGTATATATTTATGTATATGTATGTATATGTATGTATATGTATGTATATGTATGTATATGTATGTATATGTATGCATATGTATGTATATGTATGTATATGTATGTATATGTATGTATATGTATGTATATGTATGTATATGTATGTATATGTATGTATATGTATGTATATGTATATGCCAGCGGGGGGAAAACCGCGCCAGTAGTCGTGCACGTTTTTGAAAACGGACATTTTGTCCGTCACATGCACATGTTACGTTACGTCACTGGCTTGGGGGGTGTTAACGTTCATGTTAACTTGCGTCACATGCACATGTTACGTTACATCACTACCTTAGGGGGTTCTTAACGTTCATGTTAACTTTTGCGTCACGCGCACATGTTACGTTCCGTCACTGGCTTGGGGGGGCTTTCGCGTTCATGTTAACTTGCGTCACATGCACATGTTACGTTACGTCACTGGGTTGGGGGTGTTAACGTTCATGTTAACTTGCGTCACACGCACATGTTACGTTACGTCACTGGCTTGGGGGGTGTTAACGTTCATGTTAACTTGCGTCACATGCACATGTTACGTTACGTCACTGGGTTAGGGGTGTTAACGTTTATGTTAACTTGCGTCACATGCACTTGTTGCGTTACGTCACTTGGTTGGGGGGGTTGTTAACGACTGGGTTGGGTTTTCCCTTCTGGCGACTATCAAAGTCCGCCATACCATGCAGTCTCTCGACCAGAACCAACGGCCATGATAACCCAAAATTGACGCGAAGCATCAGGGTGTGGCAATGGTGTTGGATGAACTCCAAAACCAAAAGCCTTTTGGAGCTCACTGGTCGCGCCTTGAAGAAGCGCATGGCGATGTGAGGTGGAAAAAAATGCCGCGCACCTTTTCAAGAACAATTTCCCTGTAAATTACAGGTCATCATTAAAAGAGCACTTCAAATTCCCGGGGAATTTTAAGCCTACTTTGGGGAATGAATCAGTAGTTTCGCTGTGGCGAAAACGACATTTTTTTTTTAAAAACGTTCAGAACGCTGGCGCAGTTTTCCCCCCGACGGCATGTATATATATATATATATTTTTTTTTTTAATGTATATGTATACGTATATGTAAAAATGTATATGTATATATGTATATACGTATATGTAAATATGTATATATGTATATGTATATATATATATGTATATATATATATATGTATATATGTATGTATGTATATATGTATATATGTATATATGTATATATATGTTTTTTTATATGTATATATGTATATATGTATATATATATGTAAATATGTACATGTGTATATGTGTATATGTAAATGTATATATGTATATGTAAATATGTATGTGAACCGGGGATTGTTTGCCCGATTATGTTCTGGTACTTGGGGTTGAAGGAAATGTTCCAATGACGACTTCACTCGGATGGCGGCTTCCGCATGGCGGTTCTTTGCTCTGATGCTGCAGTGGGTCTTGAGCCAAAAGGGCGATTGTCGTACCCTTTGGCTGTGGATCTTAGAGTGTTGAATTATGTGATACTGTACGATGGTCCGTAGCCTACACTCTATTCGCACCCCCCACGCATGGCCAACTTTGTCGGCCACGCGCTAAGGAGTGTCCCTTGAATTGATCCACTACATCTGCAGTTGTTCATTTATTGAATTATGGAGAGCTAAAGTCCGTTCAGAACTTTACATCTACATGGCGGCTTGCTACGATCTCTACCAAAAGATAAAAGGTTCTGTTCACGTGCATATAGACACGACGTAGTCGGTGTCTAGCATTGAGGTTCATCCGATGTGGCGTAGCCAGCATGGAATCCCAATCAAGCATGTGAATTAAAGAAATCAAAACACAAAGTTGACTATGGAACTAGAAGTTTACCTTCCCGTTCCTTCGTCGGTTGAGATGTAGACCGCTGTAGAAACTCAGCGTCTCGTGCAATGATGTTCAAAAAAGAATGTGTGGTTCTAAATTAGTCGGCTCAGAGTCCTCTCAGAAATCATTCGAAATGAAATAGAGGCAAATCTCGAGCAATGATTGCATCCTCGCATCGCCAGGTTCAATCAGGACCTATGCAGAGGCCATATCGATTCATCATTTATATCCCCATCCATAGTATCCCTGATGGTTCCAGTCTCCACCACGGTGCGAATAAGATCTTCCACCTTTTCCTTTGTCTTTTCCACCCTTCTGTGGCGGGGTTACTGGAGCTTGTTTTGGCGGAGGAGCGGTTTCAACTGTTCTCCATGTTGCTGATGATGATGCTTTCGCCTTTGACACCCTGCCCAGAGCTGCTGCCGCTTTCGGGGCTGCTTTCGATTTGCCAGCGGCTTGGTTGGCTCGTTCACGATCGGCAGGAGTTGGGGTATCAGCAATCGCAAGTAGGTGGGCGTCAGTCATGTGGATGCCCCATCTTGGTCGTTGATCATCCCGTTGTTTGATGTGGTTGTAGTCGTCGATCGCATCATACAGCTTCTGTAGTAGAGGTCGTGGCAATTGTCGGCCGTTTTGAAGGATCAGGTGCAAAAGTGATATTCTTCGAAGTGCGGGACGAAGAGCACACACAATGTCTACTGGGTTCAGTGTGATTGTGTCTTGAAAGTCGACGTTCCTGAAGAAATAAACAGCATTCACCCTGTATGCACCTGCAATGATTCTTCTGACCATGACGTCTTGTCGGTCGAGGGCGTCGCGGGCCGCAGCGGTCTTCCTCATCTCATCCATCGTTGTGTCACGTTTCGACAGCTTCTCCATCTCTTCATCGAAGAAGATATTTTGCAAGTCTTCATATGTATAACCGCACTCAAGGGTATACACGAGAAGTCGTTTGAGTACCACCGACCCATAGTATGCATTGACGAATCCCTCTTCACCGATGTCGTCCTTTTGATTTGGTCGGCCGATCTCTTCGTAGAGCTCTTTCATCTGTTGTGCAGTTGGTTCAATGAGTTCACCATTCTCATCCTCGCCTAAGTAAGGCACTCTTGAGTCCAGGTCCATCCTGAATTTTCGGGTCTGTTGAAAATGTTTCCATGCCGTATCGATGTCACCACAGAAGTTCCGTTGGAATAGTCTGTAGATCCTGACGATATGCAATCCAATTTGCAACAGGAGGATTTTGATGAGCTCCGGTTGAGCATCTCCAATTGTGCAAGGCTCGATTGGTAGGACCTTTGATCCGAACTCAATCCGCTTCATCCACTTGGGGTACTCAATCACTGCATCGCGAGCTTCTCCAGCCTCATACTCTTCAATGTTGATCTCACCGACCGCAATTTCTTCATCGTCATTTTCATCGGTCGGTTTTCCTTCCTGGTTGAGAAACTTGTCGACCTCATCTTGTTCTCTGAAGTCTCTTTTCTCGTCATTGATGTCCCCTTTCTTCGAGGCTTGATCATCATCTCCCTCTTCTGGTTGAGGTTCTTGTTCTGGACTCTTCATGTTGATGTCATCATCATCTGGCATCATCTCGTCACCATCACCATCACCTGTCAAATCGATCTTCACCTCCTCCCATGCTTTCTTGACGTGGTCTTTGAGATCTTCTTCTCGATGATGTGATTCGGCACTTGGTACTGTAGCCACGGTGATCTTGATTCGTTTCCTCCATCCGTGACTCACCAAAAATCCTTTGCACATCACGCAAATCGATAGTGGCGCAGGGGTCTCCATCAGACATGCGGGGCATAGTCGATGGTCCTCCTTGCTGGGATGATGAGTGACTGCCAACAATGATATTGCATCATTCCAATCTGGATGTCCAGGGAACAATCTGTGAGCATGACTGAAGTGACCGGTCTTGATATCGACAAGCTTTCGAAGTTCCTCCAGATCGGGTGATGATTCATCAGGCACAATGTTCCCAATGAGTTTGTCAAATCGTTCAATGGTGGCCACCCTCCTTGCTCCTTGTACAGAAAGCACGAGTTGATCTCTCCCCTTCGTGATCATAAGACGGTAGTAGTCCTTTTCCTTGCAATCATAGTACCAAACGGCATCGAATGATTCGAATGGAATTGTTTCTTGGACCAAAATGTGTCCGTCTGCTGACAATCGAGGGGAGAACTTGGCAAGGGAATCGTACGTGATGTAGATGTAGACAAGATCAGTTTGTTCGATCTTCCTGAATCTCAGCACCGATTGACTTCGTACGTCCCATGGTGCGAATGGTACGAAGAACGTGTTGATTTGGTCGCCTCCTCCTCCGGGACGTAGTCCTTCTCTGAAGATTTGAGCGATGTTGTCAAAAGTGGTGCAATGAAATCCTCCTCCGAGAGTGTATCCGACTCCAGGGTTCATTTGGTAGGAAGTTTTCTTGTCTTCAATGTGCACGCCTCCTTGAACTCTTGAATGAGCCATAGGGGCACGGATTGCCACCGGCCATAGCCAAATCTCTCGATCTGCTGTTCCGATTTCCAATCTCAGCGTTTGTCGTTCAAGTCTCGAGGTCAATTCGTCATTGAAGTTGTTCATGATGTGTTCCAACTCACCTTTCGTGACTTTGAGTCCTAGCACTTGAGCTCGGATCCTCTTCGTCTGCTTGTACTCAGTGAAGATCACTCTCTGGAAATTGTTCCACCTCTCAACAAGTATTGGGTAGTTGACGCGGGTCGTTCCAGCCAATGTATGTTGGTCTCTCCAAATGTTGTCATACTTCAAGATCGATTCGACATTGACCCAACCTGCTTCATCGCATGGTAGTCCACGGTGATTT